CCCCCCCCCCCGCCTCTACACACCCCCATGTGCTCACCATCCCGCACCCCCACCCCAGGAGAACACATTCCAGGCGGTGCTGGCCACGGATGGCGTCATCTCCTTCATCATGCTCAACTATGGGGACATCCAGTGGACAACTGGCATCGCCAGTGGCGGGGACCCCCTCACCGGCCTGGGGGGCACCGCTGCACAGGTGGGCCGGGGGCACCGGGGCTGGGGGAGCATATGGGAATGCTGGAGCTGGCGGGGGGCACCAGAGGGTACCAGGGTCACAAGGACAATCCAGACATTGACCAGGGTCACTAGGATGCTTCCGGGAACCAGGGTGACACCAGGGGCACCAGGACACACCAGGGACCAGGGGTGGCATGAAGGTCACTAGGATGCTTCAGGGACTGGGGGTGGCACCAGAGGCATGAGGGTCACTAGGACATACCAGGGACTGGGGTGGTACCAGGGGCACTAGGGTGCACCATGGACCAGGGGTGACACGAGAATCACTAAGACAGACCAGGGATGGTGGGTGGCACTAGGGGCATGAGGGTCACTAGGATGCTTCTGGGACCGGAAGTGGCATGAGGGTCTCTAGGACACATCAGAGATGAGGGTTGGCACCAAGGGCACTAGGAGGCTCCAGGGGTGACACCAGGAACACGAGGGTAACTAGGACACACTGGGGACCGGGCTGGCACCAGGGGCATGAGGGTCTCTAGGATGTACCAGGGACTGGGGGTGGCCCCAGAGGCACCGGAGGGCCCTGGGCCCAGCACTGACCCTCGTGCCCGCCCCCCAGGCTGGTTTCAACAGTGGGGACAACACGCACTACTACAACATCCCGGGCTCGCGCACGGACAATGTGTTGAACATCCAGCACACCAGCAACGTGGGGGTGCCTGGGCGCTGGGTCTTCCAGGTGGACGTGGGTGTGGGCAATGTGGCACCCAGCACTGCACCCCCCCCGCCACCCCGCACCACCGTAGCCCCCCCACCGCCCACCGAGGGCAGCCAGGACGAGTGTCTAGAGTAAGCCCCCCACCCCGGGACACGGGTTCTGCCTGGCGCGTGCCTGGGTTCTCTGCGGGGCAGTGGGGCCGGGGGCAGGTTGGGAGCTGGGATGCCTGGGTTCAGTCCCCAGTGCTAGAAGCTGGGGGGGGGGCATTGGTGGGGACCTCCCAGGCTGCATCTCATGCCCGGCCTGTCTCTCCCCACAGGTGAGCAGATGGACACAGGACATGGCTGGACACAGGCCCACATGGAGGGACACATCTGCTCTCCAGTCCTGGCAGGGCAGCAATAAAGCAGTGACTGAGTACCTGTGGGCTGTGTCCTTGCGGAGGCCTAAGGGTGGGGGGGGCATATGCACATTCACGTGCGGCTGCTGTCTCCACTGCTGGTTGGGAGACTGTGTGTGCGTGTGTTTTGCGGGGGGAGGCAGCACCCAGGTGTGATCCTCCCTTGCCCACACATGGCTGGGCGGGGGGAGTTTCACTGGCAGCAAAATCATATGATCCATAGGGCACTCAGGTATCTGGGATGGTCCCCGCCCCTGGCATCTGGGATATACACATGCACAACAAAGACATCTGTCACGCTCGCTCATGTGTGCGCACCCCCGCCTGCCCAGGTGCCTGCTACCCACGCGCACACACAGATGCCCCCCCACCCCCCGGCATCCAGGAAGAACACATACACAGAGCGTCGGGATCCAGGATGCACCCCCCACCCCCTCCAGTGTCCAGGACACAGAGAAGCCAAGCGTCAAACAAGGCTGCAGGCATGCAGAACCCAGGCATCCGGGATACACACATACACGCACTAGAGGCATCTGGGACGGACACAAACGCAACCCCAGGTTTCCAGAACACACACACACACACACACACACACACACACACACACCAGGTGTCCGGGACACACGCGTACGCGTGCAGACACGTCCTGCCACTCCCTCTCCCTGCCTAGAGCTGCCATGAACCCAGGCATCTGGGCTCCCCATGCCTGTGCTCAGCTGTGCCCTTGGGGCACCAATTAGGGCCTGAGAGTGTGGGGGGGCAAGGCACATCTGAGGGGAGCAGGGCACATCTGGCTGGATCCCTATGCACTCCCCCATTCCCGGCCCCAGATGTGCCCATGCATCTCCACTGAGTGTGGGGGGCGGTACAGCTGCCACACCCCATCCACCCATGGGAGTTGCCTTGGGTCCGGCCCAGCTCTGGCATTGCCCTATGGGGTCTGTGGGCAAAGCCAGGGCCAGGGGGACTGGGACCCAACCCCCCACCCCACAACACCAGGTAGATGGGCAAGGTCCAGGGGTGCCCAGGTCCAAGGGGGGTCAGGGCCCCACTCCCCTCCTAGAGCTGCAGAGGACCCATGGGTCCAGGCTCCTGACCAGCCCCCCCACCCTGCACTGCCCTCCCAGAGCTGGAGAGGACCCAGGCATCCGGGATCCCATTCCCCTGCTTCGCTGGGGCTGGGGCTGGGGTGAGTCCAGAGCTGGAGAAGACCCAGGCGTCCAGACTCGCAGGCCCCACTCCCTGCCCAGAGCTGGAAAGAGCCCAGGTTTCCAGGTCCTCCCCACCCTCCACATCTAACCCAATGAGGTGCTGGCGTGTCCCCGACCCCCCTGGATGGGCCAGCCCCATGCGGGCAGGAACACAATGGGGTGGGTGGGAGTGGGGAGCCTCGGTCTTGCCAAGAGCTGGCATGAAAAATGGGCCCATTGAGCCGGGCCGCCCCAGGATGTGCTCCCGGGAGCCGCACCCCTGACGGCGTCTATAACCCCCTGTGCACACCGCTGTGCCCACACCACTGGAGACAGGTACTGGTAGCACTGGGTGTGGGCCAGCCTAGGGACCTGCCGGGGCTGGGGGGCTGCCCGGGCTCCTGGGTTCTCCAGCTCTGGGATGCCAGAGCTCTTCGTGGAGTCCCCCCCCACCCCTGCAGCAGGGTGGGTGGTCAGGATTGCCCCCCCGCCCCAGGCACAGTTGGGGGAAACTGAGTCATAGAGAGGGGCCGTGAATCCCACCCCCACCTCTCTATC